TTTTCTCGCAAGCAAAATGGCGCTGTCCTCCTCACCCCTGAAAATTTTAGAGGGTGTGGACTCAACCCCCCAAAACCCCCAAGCAGGATGGGGGGGCGGGGGAATTCTGGGAGTTGAAGTCCACACCTCTTAAAGTTGCCAGGGTTGAGGAACACTGACATAGAGAGATGTTCTCCATGATGATCTGTCCTGACAGTCCTGTGTATTTTATTTGCCACTCAGTCCAATAAGGATGAAAACAGCTCACCGAGGAAAAACTGCGACATTAATTTAAGCACCCATGGAACAGCCACCACATGGAAACCCATAGAAGGAGCTCTTGTCACCCGTCTGTTCCCAAGGCTCTTCAGAAAAGCCTTCATAGCTTTCCATTAATGGCTTTACAGATGGATGGTGGGGCCAAGGATGTCTTAACAAGGTTTCTGGAACGGTGTTATTATGCATTTTCTGCTGTTCGTTGCTGCCTCTTCTTGTTTTATGGATTCTGCAGTTTCCATTTTAGAAGAGATTAACCTGGCCTGATCTTCCTTCAGTGTTTTCAAGAAGTCGTAATGTGATTGGGGGCTCCAAATTAAAAGAAGGGATATAAAATGAAATGAAACGAAATGACTCCCGAAGACTTCGTGGAAACATCCATGTAATCTTCTTGGCAGTAGAACAAAAAGGGGTTGTTCTTCCTTTATTCTGACGTGTTTTCTCTATGTTCACAGTCTAGCCAATAGTGCCGGGATTTCCTGGTGGTCTCCCATCCAAATGCTATCAAAGTCCGCCCTTGCTTAGCTTCCAGACCTAAACAAAGTTGGCCGGTGATGTGGCCTAGGCAGGCATTAATCTTGATAAATGTTAAGCATTATTCATTGACACTTATCATCGACTGCCAATTATTGGGGACATAGAGGTCTACAAGGCTAGGCTAGAATTGGGTGATGTCCCTAGTTCAAATCCCACTTTAGCCCAGAAGTTTGCTGACGGATTTTGGGCCATTGGCCATCATCTCTCCATGTGGCCTACCTTGCAGGGCTGTTTTAAGACAAAATAGGAGGGGGAGAGTCTTACACAGTGCCTTGACTTCCTGGAAAGACGGATGGGTGAAAGAACAAA